TTACTTAAAATGCAAAAAATTATTTTATAACTTCAAGCAAAAATAACGTGTTTCTGTGAAGTTCAAGTAGACAAAAAAAGTGTTAGATCAAAGGACTGTATTTCCTTTCTAGAAGGCAAATGAATGGAAAGAGCGACTAAAAACAACAATAGATTATTGTAGTCTACAAAAGAGATCCTTAAGACAGCATTAGTACTGGTGGGGCTTATTTATTCATAAAGGTCTTGCAGCTTTCACATTTTTATAACAAACTCTATAGTGATCCAGTCTACTTCACTGCTCCTCTGAGTCTTTAGAGAAGTCAGAAGAGGCCTCAGGAGACCTTTCTTCACCTAATTCTGGCCTGGATCATGCTTTGGCCTCGCTCCAAGCCAAATCCACACCTCCTTTAGCTCACAGTATGATACTTCCCTCTCCCACTCTTTTCTCTCTCATTTTTCTGGCAGTTCAAGACATGTACATATTGAACCTAAAATTCAAGTATTTGTTACTAAGCTTCTTATGATTAATATCAACACCTCTCAAAATGTCTTAAAGCATGTGCTAATTAACCCAGCATACTATCAAATTATATCAGTCTTCTGAAATCATTTTAGCATCTTCCAAAAAGCATTTCTTCTCTATCTCACATACAAACTCAATGAAGAAACATTGCATTTTTTTTTACTTTTGACTCTATAAATGTAAGATACAAAGGGAAAAAGAAGTGGGAGATTAATTTATTCCCCCCCCCAAGCAAACATTACAATGAAAGGATTTTCATAACATCATTCAATTAATTTTCTTGAGGGAAAAATTATATATTATTCAGTTCCCTTTGGAAATTTGCATCCAGAACAATGAAAATAATAATAATAATATTAATTGAAGTTTTAGATGGAAGAAATCTCCAAAGCATTTAATACATTTGCTTATATTCATTCCACACTTCTATGTCACAATCCATAATTCACCAAACTGAAGCGTGACCTCAAGGCTATTTTGCATACCCATTAGAAGTCCACGGGGCTGTAGCATAATCTGCTTAATTAATGAATTCCATCAGCTGAATGCCAAGTCAAATAAGGAATAGACTGATTATAAGCAGCATACTGTTATCTGAAACTAAAGTCCAGAAAGCTTAAACAAGCCAGACTTTCAATCAGACATGTCAGCTTAATTACACAGCATCAAGACACCTTCAGTTCAAAGGTAGCAATTATATACCTTGTAATACTCTCAATATAAGTAAGTTTACAATCAAGCACCAAATTTACATCACAAAGGAATATAAGCCTGACAGCCAAACGCCGCAAATAGCTTCCTGATGTTAAAGTAATAAAAGTTCCATTCAAAACAATGGCAGAAACAGTAACAATTCTAGCTTTATTCAGAAAGGTCAGCTTTAACACATCTGGACAGAATGGTACAGAGCCAACTCCTTTAATCTTTCTGCTGCCCTTTCAAAGTTGGCCAGGAGATTCTATTCTACATAAACGTTGTTCTCAAAGAGACAGGCACTTTTTGATTCTCCACTCATTTTTAGTGGCTGTGAATGGTAGTGGATGTATCATCTATTCATTGATATTCTAATGCTTCACAAATCAGTAACAGCCAAGGCTCTCTACACTGCTAGCATCCTCACACTATGCCCTCTTAACTGCCTGACTTGGTCATTCTGTTGGCAGTGTCAAAAGCTGCACTATTGGCTTGCCTTTTATGGATTGTTTTCCTGACTCCAGGGCCTTCATGTCATATTCCTTGCCTGAAACTGAAGTGGAAATAGCTATAAAAGCTTCTCTGACAAATACAAAACTAACGTCTCGTGTGGCACTGTAAGATTGAGAAATACAGCTACTCACCCAACTTTGTCACTTGCAGTTAATATCTTTGCATAAAGTTTTCTCATACACACTCTAACGTGACAGATATTGAGCAAGATCAGAAGATAAGAGCCTTTAAGAACTCCAGAAAGAATCTGGATCATATTTCTTTACTTAGTATTTCATGCTGAAAATAATCTCACCCCCTAAAGGCAGGTCATTAAAAATGTTATCATGTTATCATAGCTATTAGCAAATGATTCATTTTTCATCTTGTTAGAGAAATTAATTGCCCACTCAACTCTATGGCAGAGATATCTGGAGTTTGGTCTCCTATCTGCAATCTCAGGCTGCGTATCTAATTTCAGAAGGCCAGACGGCTTGCAGCGGGCACAGTTGGGGTTGGGCACCTCTCAAAGAATTCAAACTTCTCTTGGAGGATGTTAGATAAGACCACTGAATGCCACTTCTTGACAAAACAAGCGTTTTGGTGGAAGTTGAAGTATGAACAAAGAAAAGAAGCAGCCAACATGATAGCAGAGGAAAGTTGTTGGTTTTTTTTTAAAATTGCACTACGTAAAAGGTCCCAGACCACTATCACTTATAAAACTTGTTCAGTATAGTCAGAAAATCAGATATTTTGGGTTGTATTTATAGACAGGCATTCCAAAAGAGTAGTATCCTTTCAAAAACGGAGGATGTGGTTTTGCTCAATTTCTGATTTTGACACTCATACTAAGCTAAGAAAGATGTAAGTACATACATACACTCTAAAACCAGGGAAATTAGAAGCTATTTCAAATCTTCTAAATTCCAATGCCATGTTAGCTATAAAAAGCAGATTCCTCATGTCTATTTTGCTCCCCATTTTACTCTTAAAAATGTATACAGTTTTGTATGTATACTTGTATATATTGTAGACAAAAGTGTATATATGTGGAATATTGTATTTTTCTTCTTTTTTAGAGGAAAAAAACTGGAAATTTTCCTCTGTTTAGATCTTCATACAAAACGTAGGCAGATAGATAGGGTAGCTTGAATATAACTTAGGAGCTCCTAAGGAGCTCCTGTTTCCTATGAACTGGTACACACACAGATGGGCTAAAACTGATGATGGTTTCAAACCTTCATAGGGTTACCCCAGCCACCATAACAGTAGCTTGATTCAGCAATAACGGTTACTTTTCAATTACTCATGCCAGAATAGCACTGTAACACTGACTACAACTGAAGACAGCATTACAAGCCTTGCAGATTTCAGGACATCTACTAATAACAAGGGCAATTTCTTTTATGCAGCCAGATATCTGAAAAGAAAAACAACATATTTCAGCTTTCTTCAGAGAAAGATTCAATTTGCTGATCATATTCTGCCAGCCTTTGTGTCCACTACTGTATGTATCTAGTTAGCAAGCCTCTTTAATCAAACTTCCCATCACCTTTACAAGTATGAGATAAAGCTGTACTTAGTAATTAGTCAGGTATTCTTTCATATCACTTCAGCATATGTTAGCAACATTCCAACTGTGCAATATCACTACTGCGTTTGGTTTTTAATATACTTGAGCCAGAAATGGACGCAGGAGCAGATATGAAAATTGGTTCGCGTTTCTAAAAGGAACTGCCTTAGACTAGCTAATCACAAACCTAAGCGTGTACCATAATCCATCTTCTCCTTCACAGAGATTCTTTTGTTAAAAGCCCACTGAGGAAAAGCTGAAAGGACAGAGTATTTCAGATATAAAAGATAAAATCATAAATGCTGCTGATGATGGGAAGCTACTAAAATTTTAAGGAACAGAGCCCATGAATCTATCAAAACAAGAAACATGCATTTGATATATCTAAGTCAGAAATGCACTTTCACTGTGCCGTTAACACTTCCAGCATGACAGAGTAAAGCCACTTCTGAATAATTCTACACCAGAAAAGCGAGAACATCATCTCTTTGAAGACAGATTCCATGCTATTCTGGAAAAAGCTATTTATGGTATATCTACACTGCTTTGTATATCAGTAGATCAGAAGACCTACTATGCCTCTTTTCCTGAGTGATGTTATGCAGGTACACAAAGCAGATGCAGCCCCCACTCACTGAAATCTCCACACCTGACACTGTTGAGTGGGCAGCAGTGTAAAGTTGTAGATTTGCCTTGAGGTTTTGCTAACATGTCTGATACAGTTAAAAGAAAAATATCAAGAAAAACTAAGTAGTCAGTAGGTTCACTGGAAGTCCTCTGTTGGAAAAAAAAAATAATAATACCACAGATCCTACTTAAAAGGAGAAAAAAGATATGTAATCAAGCAAGCTAGGACAAAGGTTGGTGATTTACATCATCATTCTTTATTTCTACACTATACTTCATCTTTACCAATGAGTAAACTCTAAACAAGAAAGAAAGGTTCTTCCACAAGGAAGAGAAGCAATTCAGACTATATCTACAGCTCAAACTGGTTCAGGTATGAAGACAAGCATCAGCAAGCTACAAAGACAGGATGTTAGACAGAAGCACACTATACTGAAACAGAAAGGTAAATGATGTTTTAATGGCAGTCAGACATAAATAACTTATGTGTGACAGTTTTAAACAGTGAGTGGTAACTACAGGAAAAGGGTAGTTTTCAAGTAGCAAACACCACACTTTGTTTAACTTGTATTTTAATAGTTAAATATAACACACACCCCCCTTTTTTTTTTTTTCTTAAAAGTACTTTAATGCAAATCACTAATTTAAGGAAACTCTGATAACCTATATTTCTGAAAAATAAAAGATAATAATATAAAACACAAATATCAATTTTCCTAAGGCAGTGATCAACTGAGACCTTTTTGTATTCACACAAAAGGAAGCATGCTTAGCTGAAATGGAAAAGACATTCTCAAACACTGCACTTACATTTTCAAAATGTGTAGAAGCTTATCTAAGAGGAATGGTAACCTAAATAATCAATTAAATAGCTTTTGTTTTTTACAGAAATACCAAGAATTTCTTCTGGTCTGAACTGGTAGCAAGTAATAGTTCCTGTTTCAAGGGAAATATTGCACACCACTGATACAGGGTTGGTTTTTTTTTTAATCCACCACAACACACAAACATCAGAAGTCACAACGTATTTCAAGCACAAATTGTTTCCTGAAGAGGAAAAAAATAATTATCAAGCAAAACACACAGTAATGATAAAAGCCAAGAATTTTACCTGCTAGGCAGCAACATACAGTCAATGTCAGGTCTCTTTGTCTTGGGAATGGCATATAGCGGATACCTATCGCCATGTCGAATCAACACTTGAACTGACACTAGCTTAAAATAATGAGGTGCATGACCTACAGCGAAGGGGGGGGGAGAGGGGAGAGAGAGAGAAAAAAATAATGTAGAAAGTGAAGTGAATGCTACCTAAATCTTTCCTCTGCACACTTTTTCCTTTAAGAAAAAAAGCAGATAAAATTGGCTTGATAGCTTTGGTGTGGCAATGAAAGAAAATCTCCATAAGAAATGATAATTTAGTGTCCCAAGAAAGATTTCACTTTAAATTGCAAGACAAGGTATGCAAGACTCGGGTTCTTAGCACATTCTCCGTAGTACATGTGAAGTCCAACAACCATAAAAGACATTATTCAAGCCCTGATCTCTGCCAACACAACAAGGCTACTCTACTCTTGTGATGCCTCTCTTCCAGATCCCTATGATAATGACAGATTTTGCAGCATGCCTAATTTGGAGCTTTTTGATATACTAGTTTGTGATTTATTTTATATGCATTAGTGGGATATGCTAATGAGGGAATTCATTCAGGCTAACTTGCTGCTGCAGCCGCTATAGGGTGAAGAATGCAAATGTGTCTTCTGACTATGTCTAATGGTTTGGAGTTCCAAAATTAATTACTTCTGGTTGGGTTTTTTTTCAGAATTCCAAGTCAACTGTTTTTCAGATGTTAATAATATAATTTGCAATGCAGCTCACTTAGAATAAGCATTATAATTCAAATATTAAATATCTATATCACTCCCACCCCTTTCAATTTTAGGCCTCCAGTTGGCCATTGACTAGGAGCAGAATCACTTCCAAAAATCAGGACAACAGAGAGGATACAAAGAGAAGGAAAGAACAACAGCATATTTTGAGCGATTTAACATAATTCAGCAACAGATGGCGTTTGCTGTACCTTCTCCAAGCACCAAAGAAATGACAATGCACAAAGTTATCACTTCCAATGACAGCACGTAGAAGCAAGCAACTAAACTGTCATTTCCATTCACAAAGCTTACCTTCCATGCTGCGCTCAGCAATGGTGGGAATATTGCAGTAAACACGAGCTTCATGAACAGGATCTATTACAGGAGGCTCAGTCAGCAGATCAGGCATTATTCTCTTTCGGCTTTTAGGATTCAAACCATCTTCCCTGATGGGGTTTACTGGGATTAAATGCACTGAAAGATACAAAACATACAGCATATACCTTTAGGAGGCTTTAAGAACATACAGGACTATGACTTTTTTTCCTTTTTTAAAGTAATTATGCACAAAGACTACGGTTTCCATGAAAGGATACCACTCTACAGTTTAGATCTTTGTTGTGAATTTTTCATGATTTACATAGTCAAGAAGGCAAGCCCAGAGAGCTCTTCAGCAAAGTCAATGCTTGGCTGAAGACTGCTAAAATACATCTGGATGTAGAACAACTCTGCCTTTTGCACTCTTCTTGAAGCTGCTTTTTCTGTCAGTCTCTCATGAGGCTCTAAGAGCATGAACAGGAAGAAAAGGCCCTTAACAGGCCCAGCTGTCTCTCATCATTTTAACTTAAAAACTGATGTTGAAGGACATCAGCAAAAGACACAGCACAATTATGATAGTACTACAAACCATTGGGAAAAAAAAGTAGTTAAGATTGAAGGGGCTGGATTGTCCATCATTTTCCATAGTAATCCCTGCCTTACATGGCTACCTTGCCAGCCTTAAATAGTCTGACTTACCTAAAGAAAACACACACAAAATATATTTGTTGAAATGTAACTGAGACTACCACAAAAAATGTTAAATACAAAGAAACGCAATTAATGTTACACACAGCAGGGAAATTAACAGAAATACCACCACTAGTCTTCCGATATGTAGAAGCATGCTGAAGCGTATCTGAATTTAAGGCCAGAGTTGTACTGACAATGTCTTTTTACCTTGCCTTGATGTGAAAGCACTAGTTAATTTATGAGCCTTACAAGACTACACTTGTAATAACGAATGCCCACATTTTTTTTCTATTAGTATTTTCTGGTATTTGAACAGGGGCAGATTTAAAGGTGAAAATGAGGAGAAAAAGTGTTTGTATTTTTACCCCTATTAGTCTTCTGTGGTGAGAGAAAAAAAAGAAAAAAGAAAGAAAAGACGAGAGAACAAATTTCGAAGCAGAATTTTATTAATTCTTCTGGGTCAGTTCCTCAGTTGCATCTTGACTCCCAGTCCTAATTTTAGAGGCAAATTTGTTCCACAGGAGAGAGTTGTGCGGACAAAGAAAACCAATGAAGACAGCAAACTGAAGTGAAACACACAAAGATTTTAAGAGCATGTAGCCATTAATATAACACAGACTCTTCATTCTTACACTACAATACACTACTACAAATATTTTGATGTGGTTTCTCTTTGCCTGCCAAAACCAGAATTCAAGCATTTTCCATACCCTTGCTAGCGCTGTTGACATGGCTAATACCGCAAAGTGCAGTGACTTTAAACTTTTCCTTCAGCTGTTTCAGATTTTGCATACAGGACTGTGCTTGGCGAGAATACTAAACTGTAATTTTGACTTTGGCCACTTAAACTGCAGGGCTCAGCTGCCATTCCTGCATTTATTTATCAGATTCATTTTTTAGCTCCTTTCACATTATTGTGAGACATTGCAAACCACTGACCAAGAAACTCTAGCAGTAACACAAGAGCCTTGGCAATATCTATCAGAGGCTGATAACTCTGGCTTGAAGGGGACTTTCAGCAAATTTGTATTTGGGGTATAAATCCCAAACCTAAGAATGTATTACAACAGTTGCTGGCCTCTGCAAATAAACAGCATTACAAGACAGTAGTTGCCTAAAGAGTATAAATGGGAAATTACAGCAGTTATGTTATATTGGTCAAGTTTCCTAGCCAGAAAAGGTTAGGAGTAACAACTCTCAGCTTTCCGTTAACAATTTTCTCTAGAGCAACCCACAACATTGCTACTGCTCACTTAATGTCACAAAAACATACAGAGTTGGCTTAAGTACTCATGGAGGTAATGTAATTCATGCAATTCAGCTTTGATCCATGAGTGTTTCAGAAGACAGGGGAAACCATACCCCAATAGCAACAGCTACGAACTCTGGTGCTAAAATTTGGTTGGGAGATTTAAAAGCAAAATAAGGAACCTAATTTTTTATCCAAGGCAGTTTTAACTACAAAAGACTGAACAGATCACATTTTTGCACTGAGACTACAGCAGTCAACAGATGCATACATTATCTTATTAAGATCAAGTCCTTACGATTCATGGGGCCAAATATTTTTTTTGCAGATAGCAAGTCTTATTTCTAATCAAACGAGTTGAATAAATACTTTAACACTGCCAGACAAATTTAAGAATAAGGAAAAGCACTAAATCTTAAAGAGAAGAATCTACTCTATTTAAAATATTAAAAAGAAAATTGAATATTAAAAATAGCACCTACAGGATTATCAGATTACATGTTTGAAGTTTAAAAAGCCACTGACAAAACACCCAAAACACTCTCAAATCAACACAGCAGTTACGGGTACAACATAAGACTATTTCGTGGACTAGAAATGGACTCTCAGATTAGGAATACCAATAGTTCATATCACCAATTTAAAAAAGATTTTATTAAAAACTTTCCAATTCTAAATGCTGCTGCTAATTACATTTATTAATTACTTAGTAAAAGCTGGTAAATATTGCCCTTATTGTATAGTGAATAAGCTTGACTTATACCAGGGGAGAAGAAGGGAGACAACATTTCCCCACTAAACTATTACCACCCTGTCCAGTCCAAGTATCTGATAGGGACTGGGCTAAACGAGCTTCTAACTTTGAACCCACCTGGGGCATAACCGTGTTGTCTGGATTTCTGAACGTATTTGAGCAACCTGATCCAGTGAAAAATGTCCCTGCCCACAGCAGGATAATTGGTCTAGATTATCTTTAACAGGTCCCTTCCAACACAAACCATTCTATGATTTGACTTAAATGATTAAAATTAATTGAAGGTTTGACAAAGACAATTATTAAGAAGGTCAAAAAACTCCAGTCACCTACATAAGCACTGTCATAACAAGTGGTATTTACTTTTAGCACACTTGAAATAACACATACTGGGGGGAAAAAAAAATTTTAAAAAAATCAACCAAACTACCTATGCAAATACCTGGGTCTTCTATTTAACTATGTTAAACAGAAAAAGAAAAAAAAACATATGATCTGGGCACCAGTCTAGGCAGTCCACTGGAAATTTCCACCAAATGTATATGCATAAAAATAGCAACTATTTCAGAAAAGGGGGAAAACAAGACCAAGGAGAGACGAATTCCAGTTGGAAAGCTGCCTTCAGTTTGCTCAGTCTTACCAGCATGGTGACCCTGAAGAGCCCACCCAGCAAGGCTGGTCCTCCTCTCCCCTTGTTGAAGCTCCTCACAAGCTGTAACAATTCTGCAGTTCCAGTGCTTTGGGATGAGGACCCCAAGTAACGCAGCCCCTTGTTGTACTTCTGCCTGGTCCAAACAATGACAGAGGTATTTTTCAATACAACTGAAGTCTCAGTTGTCTCTCAACTGTTTTCTCATCTTCTGCCATTCCCTGGACATTGTTAATGCCTCACGTATTTATGATGTTTTCTCCTTTCTCCCTCCCTTTTCATTTCAAGTCCTTGGGCTTGATGCTCCCTTGCTGTCTTCATTTATCATGCTTCCTAAGTGCCGAGTCCTTCTTTACAAGCCTCACCTTCTCCAGCTCCCTACTGCATGGAAGGCTCAATTTGTTCCTCCATTTTGGTACCCCTTATACCACATCAAGCAGTTATTTAAAGCTCTTTGAAGAGCTGACTGTCTCTCTCTATCCAAGTATTTCCTTACTGAAAGTCCTCCTCTGCAGTGTCAATCCCACCTTTGTCTCCCAAGTGGGGTTTCTGGTCCATATGTAGCCAGGAAACCTACAAGTAGTATTGGACTGACACAGCTCAGAGAAAGAGAAAGAGAAAGAGAAAGAGA